TAACTAGAAGTTATCATTCTTTAAGACTTAAAATTTTGTTATAGAACCACAATTTAAGGCTCGCAATCAAATGCCAAAAATGAAGCAGGAGACCTTCCTAAATCCCTCTCTTGCGATAAGATGGCATTTAAAAACATTAATTAATTCATTCATTCATTAATTCATTCATCTTTTATTTGTTTGAGCAGGTTGAGTTTATGGCAGTTTAATTTCCCACCCATCCCAACCCCGGGGAGGACATCCATCACACAGTAATCTCGTGTGTGGGAAATTAACGTCTCCTACCCCAACCCTGCCGGAGACGGGACCTCCATTTATCGTCCCTATCCGAGAAGACTAGAAAGTCTAACCATTTTCAGATATTATTACAAAGGCAGCACTTGCTTCTCAGTTAATTAAAGACCCTGAATGTTGGTCCGGCCGGATTTGAACTCACGACCTCCCGCACAACAGTCCGGCGCTCTACCAATTGAGCTAACCGGGAGGCGGTAAAAATTTAATCTATGGATCTTTGCCAAGTCTTCACCATCCTTTACCATGCTCGTTAGTTTTGACTTGTATTTCCATCTTGCCAGATTAATATTTGATGGTTTTCATTCTCTTAACATTAATTTTTCACGGCATAAAAAGCTAGTCATAATAACGTAACGTATTATTTGCACTAACTAAGTTATTTAATGGTCGATGTGCCGCAAAGTTCTTGTAAACATTTCAACCGATCATCAGCCTTCGCGATAAGTCTTAAATATAGTTTCTATAGAACTTCAATCTCGATCTCGAAGTCCTATAGTTTCCTTAAAGCTTCGAAATGCTTAGAATTTGCTGCTTTAGCCGAGGATCTCTCTTTACTCTGCCAGAGCAACCTATAGCTATCAATACAAATGACGAAAGTCTGTTTAATTTCTGAGACTCTTATGCTTCACCCTACGGTGACTTCAAAGGGACACACTTTTCTCTCCCTTTTTTTTTCACTTGCATTTTAGCTGCTACTTTCTTAAAACTTAGCTGCGACTTGCTACCTTCTTGCGACTTAGCTGCGACTTTCTTGCGACTTAGCTGCGACTTTCTTGCGACTTGCTTCTTTCTTGCGACTTCGCTGCGACTTTCCTGCTACTTTCTTGCGACTTAGCTGCGACTTTCCTGCTACTTTCTTGCGACTTAGCTGCGACTTTCCTGCTACTTTCTTACGACTGAGCTGTTACTTTCTTGCGACTTAGCAGCGAAAGTCGACTTAGCAGGAAAGTCGCAGCTAAGTCGCACGAAAGTAGCAGCTAAGTTGCAAGTGAAAAAAAAGAGAGAGAAAAGTGTATGTCCCTTTGTAGCCACCGTATCACCCTCATCAACTACCACGTTGCAGATATCCTGATCCTTTGTCCTTAAAATGAATCAGTCTATGTTAGATTTTGACGGGTTTTACCTTTCGCAATCCTTAGTGTGCGAATTACTGACTTTGCAAATGAAAAGTGTTATTGTTTCTGTGTTTACAGGTGATGTTCCTCGTATCATTGATGTTCATAATATTGTCCGTGCTTGCTTACTGCGTGCAGACTATGAAGGTGGTAAAAGACAACAGCACTGCACGTGTTGCCATGGTGATAATAGAAGGCGTGTGCGGAATCTGGTTCACTGTTGAATTTACACTCAGACTGGCCACTTGCCCTAGCAAGCATGACTTTGTTAAGCAGATCATGAACTGGGTAGATTTCATTGCTATCTGGCCTTTTTATGTTCGTATTCTAACCACAGAAGGTTACCCAAATGGCGACCCAAAAATCGAATACGACGTCTTGGCCATTTTGCGGCTTTTCCGGTTACTACGGTTTTTTAAAGTGAATCTGGGATTCCAAATTCTTAAGCAAACCATGATTGCAAGTTCCCGCGAATTGATGCTTTTGGTTTTGTTGCTAATCGTGCCGGTAATCATCTTTGCCAGTTGTGCATATCTCGCAGAGAGGAATAGTAATCCTGAAGAGTTTCCTTCCATCGTTGAATCTTTCTGGTGGGCCATTATTACCATAACAACCGTAGGCTACGGAGATGACGTTCCGACGACTGGCGTTGGAAAACTCTTTGGTGCACTTTGTGCGGCCCTCTCAATCGTTATCACAGCGCTTCCAATCTCTATCATCGGCAGTAACTTCTCGCTGTACTATTCACATGCGCAGGCGCAGATGAAGCTCCCGAAGAAATCCAAACGCCCTATGGTTGGAGCTGCAAATGCTTTGATGTTGCAGTCGGCGAGACCTAGCGAGGATATGACAAGCACAGATATGGCCGAGGGAAGGCTGGATTTGAGGAAATCGTCGCCAATCATAAATGGATCTCTGGGTGGGGATGCTAAAATACATCCATACCGTGGACGGTGAGTGTGTACGTTAGAAAAAAATACTTATAAACGTGTTGAGGAAGTCGTGGTGGCCTAACGGTAAGCGCGTCGGACTCTGGGTCGTAAGGCCCGGGTCTAAGAATTAGCTTGCTCATTGTGATGTGTTCTTAAGTGGCAAAAAAGTGTTTGTGAGGTGCCGGCGGAAGCTAGAGAAAATGCTGGGGGAGGGGAGGGGGTAATCAGCAATGATATAACATCCCATACTGGGGGAAGGAGCAATATTGACACCACTTTAAATAACAGAACTGGGTTAGACTTCGGCTTAGCTCGATAAAAAATATTACCTTAAAGTGCTTTGGTTTTGTGATCTATAACTTTAGGCAAAAGGTGCCAAAATTTTCAAATAAGATACAAACCAAGTATACCTCTTGAATCTGAGGCAGCTGGCTGCAGTTAACGAGTTCTCCAAACTCTTTTAAGACATGAATTAACCAAAAAGTTAATGAATAGATAACATGTCTTTATAACTCAGCCACCACCACATTTATTGCGTTAATCGATCAATCATTGGTCATGCAATCGAGCAGACAATCACTGAGAAACCCAGGTAGCTTGCTAGAAGCAGCTCAATAAAGAGGGTAACATCTTTTGTAAAATACTCTATTAGTGAATCTATTGGGATATGTTTCAAACATCTCAATGATTACTATCGTTAACTTTAATAACTCTCTTACTGAGTTATGCGATTATCATACTCTTATTACTCAGGGCTCGACGCGCACGGTCATCTCTATACGCAGGGGCTATGAATCATCGACAATCGTTTCCAGTCCGCTCCCGAAGCAGCGAGGAATTCATTTCCGTTAACAGTCCACCACTTGACGGCAGAAAAAAGAGCCACACCAGTACCCAGAGTACAACGATAGACACTCCACCTAAAAGCCCCCCTCATTATGGAAACACCCTAACGGTGGACCCGCCAGAACTTTCGGAAGCCATTACAGGCTTTATAGACGTCCCTGCAGAGAAATCTTCACCAAAATGTAAACCCATAGTACACAGGGAAAGCGAAGAGTTCGAAATAGATGATATTGACCATGTACTCGCAACTATGAAAACGAGCGATAACAAAGGAAACATGGCCAATGGAAATGCCCGGCCCGGATCGACAGGCCGACCAGGAACCCCAGGGAGACCAGGAACCCCGGTGAAGAGGACTCCCAAGAACTCTGTACGGTTTGTGAAACCGACGCTAACTGTGACATTGAATACAGTCAATGCAAACATGATTAATGAGTCGTTTGAAGAAGATGTCCAGTACGATGAGTTCGAACATGAGGAGAATAAACGGAGCGTGGAGCCAAGGTCTCAAGTACAAACTGCGCCTTCAAGACATCGGCCGTTTACAAGCGGTTCGTCAGCTCCAGAGGAAAGTCATACGTAATACAAATTGAGGACTTGGTGAGTTAGTGACGTAGTTCGGTACAACTGCTGAGTGAGTCCATGATGATTGATGTAAAGATGGTTAGCATGAGGTGTCGTTTTGACAGCAAAGGAAGACATTCAAGTGACACTACCCCCTCCCCCTCCTCCTCCTGATGGTATGCAGTAGTTCACCAACAGTAACCAGAGGGTTTTTCTGGCATTTCAGTGCAGTTTGATGGTATGCAGTAGTTCACTAACAGCAACCAGAGGGTTTTTCTGGCATTTCAGTGCAGCTTGATGGTATGCAGTAGTTCACCAACAGTAACCAGAGGGTTTTTCTGGCATTTCAGTGCGTTTACACCAGTGAAGAAAGAAGGAGTTCCAGACTGAGTGATCACATAGTGACCTCGGGAAGCGCTTGTATAGTGACCTGTTATTGGATCCTGAACAAAGGAATTAATACGTACTACGACGGCTACCACTGACTTATCTTTCGATGAGAACATTCGGACCATGGGTGTACTGGATAGAACGATAACAGACAAAGTGCTGCAGTTGCAGTCGTAACAAGGCTGTCTCTGAGTAATTTAAAGGCCAATTGTGTTCAAAACCTCTCGAAGTGAAGCAGGATGAACGAAAAACTTATCTCGTCTCAGCTTTTACGATAAGTCGATTCTTCCTCTTGGTTTTTACCAAACATGAGACAAAACCTTGAAAGGAGAGCTCTGAGAAGCTTGAGTTATGAAGGCGAACAAAAATGTAAAGCTGATTGATGTTTTGCGACGCCACTGATTCATTAAGTCCTGAACGAGGGCTGATGGTATTGTCCTTCCGCTATCTACGCTTAAAAATATAAATGACAATTTCCACGAGAACCAATAATTTGTGCCCATCCTGTGGAAAAGTTCCAGAAACACAGGGACGACGTGATCTGCGAGGCAGTTCAGGTTGCCATGACGATGAGTAACCATAACGACACCGATGAGCTACTATAAAGACACTTAGATTCATTTCTTGTTGGTAGAAACCACGTTACTGGGTAATGCAATGCGGATTCTATAAAAACGTTCCAAACAAACAAAAACGTCGTTTGATTAAAAAAGGATGTATGGAACCAGGAAAGAACAGACTCAGCGGGGTGACCTTTCACTCACAGAGTAGTTAGTTCAAGGTTGGAACATCACGAAAACTTTCACCTAAGTTTTTCGCTTCCGACATTTGCAATCGCGTTCAATCCTTGAATTTCTTTGACCCTTAATTCGTCATCCTCATCAATCTCACTCTTTTCAATCTCAGCAAGCTAATGTTTTGTAGTATACCTCAAAAATTAACTAAAGGAGAATTTGCTCGTCGACGCAAAATTACGTATATATGACGTGGCTCCTGGAATACTTCACTGCATGTAAATATGTGAAATAGGAAATAGTGCCCTATTTTCGGGCAATTTCTTTGATAATGACCAAATATTTTCATAGAATGAGGCACCAGCTTAATGAAGTGTATAAATATTTATGAGAAAAGCTTAAATTGGTAAATATTTCATTACCTGAGTAAACTAAAGTTGGCATAGAAACTTCATCGCTCAACAACTTGCGACGTTTGCTTCGGAATTCAGGTATCCCTAACATAAATTTGTTATTGTGCTTCTAGTGTTATATTTTCGCAGTTTTAAAGATTACTTTAATGATTAACTTAGCAAGTAATAAGTTATAACAATCATTTTCACTGAAAGAATATCAAAGTTAAGCAATATTTAAGAATGTCATGAAAGCTGAGCTGCTACGAAAAAATACCTTTACTCTTCATTACATTAAAAAGAAATAGTCACTCAAGTTTCCTTTGTTACTGTTAAAGAATCCGCTGAGGCAAACAACAAGCCTTGGCTTAACAGTCTCTGTGTACAAGTTTGAGAAGTAAAAGAACATCTCGTGTAATTTATGTGGAGACAAGACATTAAAAGAATTTAAGGCTTACGTACACCACCATTCCAAACACTGGTACTGAAGAGTAAAGTGGTATTTACAGAAGTGGCCTAGTTTGACTTTGACAATTATTTACATTGACCACTTTCATAAATGGCTGCTGGATTAATATTCTTTTGTTTAAATTTAAATTAGCCTTTCTGGTCTCGTTCTCCAGTACAAAATTCAAAAGAATACATTATCTCAAGCGAGGCCAGAAAGGCTAATTTAAATTTAAACAAAAGAATATTAATCCGCCAGTCATTTATGAAAGTGGTCAATAGACATAAACCTTTCAGTTCATCTTGCACAGCACAAGAGATTGGAACTAAAGTTCTTCTGGGAATGGTTGCCAATCTAAATTATAACATAACCAAAGTAAAGCGCGCGCTCTGATTGGTCAATTCAGTGTCCACCATTTGCCCATGGGTGTACGCTGCTGACGTGAGCAAATGCAAAGACTAGTTTTCCGCGCGCGCTTGTTTTTTCTGGTCACGTAAGATTTGTTGAATAAAAGAAAACTCTCGCTACAATGTATCAATGTTACGTTGTAAAACAAGCGGTAAACGCCACAGTGTACACTATTGAGTTATGGATGTACTTCGGAGGTTTGCTAAGCACTCAAGAAGCTAGAGTCGCTTTCGGTTATCGCCTCGCGCGACTCTTACGCTTCTTTCATGCTTAGCAACCTCCCGTGTGCATGCATAACTCAATAGTGTACGCTGTGGTGTTTACCATTTGCTAAGGTTATATGAAAGAAATGACTGAAATTAAATGTGAGGAGACTTTTTGGCTAACTGTTACATACTTAACAAATGGTAAACACCACAGCGTACACTATTGAGTTATGGATGCACGCAGGAGGTTGCTAAGCACGAAAGAAGCCCAAGAGTCACGGGAGGTTGCTTAGCACGAAAGAAGCGTAAGAGTCGCTCGAGGCGATAGCCGAGAGCGACTCTAGCTTCTTGAGTGCTTAGCAAACATCCAAATTGCATCTCTAACTCAATAGTATACACTGTTGTGTTTACCATTTGTTTTATAACATAACATTGATACATTGTAGCTAAAGAGTTCCCTTTTATTTAACAAATCTTACGTGACCAGAAAAAAAAGCGCGCGCGGAAAAATAGTCTTTGCATTTGCTCACGTCAGCAGCGTACACCCATGGGCAAATGGGGGACGCTAAATTGACCAATCAGAGCGGGCGCTTTACTTTGGTTATGTTATCAATGGATTTAGTCAGACACGGGCTTATGGAAATGATGATTTTGATTAATCCTGGTGGATTTCTCTTTGAGGGTTTAATTGGAAGGTTTAAGCATTATTAGATAATGCAGTATCACCAATACTATAAGGGAATGTTCGGGCCAAAATCTGCTTGAATTCGTGTTTGCCCTCGTAAGGCAAGGTTTAAACACAAGAAAGAGACTGGAAACGAAAGCAGGCGCATGAATTCAGCTGTACGTGCTGCAATTGGTTGTTGATTATTTGAGCTGTCATCTTTAGAAAACAAAATAACGATTGAGGAGGTTAGGGTTATCACAGTTACATTTTGTAATTTTTGTAATAATTTGGTTTCAATGCCTAACTTATCCATGCAGTCGACAGAGTATTTTCCTATTGTAAATTATACAGAATTAGACATAGTTGGAGCGCTGAAAGTGTTAATTCTAGTGGCGGTCGAAAGTTTGTACTTGTGTATAGTTCTGTATCAGGCGCTGATCAACAAATTGAACGGTGTTTCAGTAGCATCCAACAGGTCCCGTTTATAAACTTCAAGAAATGGCATTGAAATTTAAAACGCAATTAGTTCCATGGACGAACAATATAATTTATTCTCAACCGTTCACTGTTGGGCGAAGAGATTCCTTAAAGAGAGCAGAAACGATTAAAGTGATCCTTTTTCGATGCTTAACACAGAGCTTTGCAATGTAAAGTTAAAATTCGTGAAATATAATTCTAAGCATCACATAGAAATAAGTTTTATTTTGTCTTTATATGACACAAGGCTGTAATAACCCTTTATTATATAGATACTGATGAAATACCAGGATTTCTCCTTTTACTAAAAAATCATATCTTCACCGCACGCAGTGAAGATACTATTTTTATCTTTCACGTGTGAGGATAATGGTGTGGCCATGGTTACCGACATAATTACCTAATTGCTGTTTCATTAAATGAATAAAAAAAGTTGTCTTTTATGTGGAAATTTCATCAGTATCTATATAATAAACAGAACATTACATGGCCGCTTGGGGATACGAATTTTATCTTCTCGTGCTGAGAGTATCTCTCACTCGTTCGCTGCGCTCACTGGTGAGAGGTACTTTCAGCACGAGAAGATAAAATTCGTATGCCCGAGCGGCCATGTCATATCCTCTATATAGCCCCTACGCTTCACTAGCAGCGAATTTATCCTTTAAGTATCATTACTGAACCTAACACCAAGGTCACGTGAATAAAAGAAATAATTACCATCTAAAAGAGCTCTTCACTGTTAATCAAATTCTCCTTGCTACTACCAAAGGAAAATATATAGAGAACAGTATGGAGAGTGCGCGCAAAGCTGTTAAGGTGTAAAGGGTTAAATTTGTCGAAAAAGCTTGGGAGCAATCAGCTCTCATTGGATTTATACACAAAATGTATCCAAGTATCCATCCATCGACTTGGGACTTTGATGCAATATAATTCTACTTTTCAAGGTAGTTATGGTACGTTACATTATTTAATAATGACTCTATTGAAGATTTTTTCAGATAAATACCAAAAGCCACAGAAATAAAAAAAAACCTATTGAAAGTACCACGAGTAACAAATTTTTGGTGTTTCTTTGAAACTCGTGACACGGAGTGAACCCTTTAAAAATATTACAGCACCTGCGAAAATGCAGACGTTGAGACCTTATATAAACCGAAACGTTGAAATTTGATTATTGCAAGGCCACTGCGTATATCTAGTATATATTTCACACCCCACTCCTCCCCCC